TTCCCTTTATTCCCACAATCCAGTAGTAAACGTCCTTCCCCCTTCTACCCAGTCTCATATCTTTATAGTGGAGGGTAGGGTGCTTAGGGGCTGTATAGCCCTTTCGGACTTGGTATGTGTTCTCTATGAAATGGTTATCTCAGCTGAGAAGTGTGGTTTCACATATGCAGAACCTCTCAGCATACTGCAGAGCTTAGGAAGGAACTAGTCTCTGAGCTGCAGATGTGTTTTGGGGATCAGACCTGAACACCCTGTTAGTTTCAGTAGGCTCAGGCACATAGTGCAGCATTAGTTACAATAGATTTTGCACAGTTTAATGGATAGGGGCTGAAGCATGAGCCTCCATGAATGCACAAGAGGGATTCTTGCAAGTCATTCCTGCGCCCAAAATGTATTCTGGCCTGTGCAGAGAGTTGACTGCCCCTCACATATAATGCCTAGTGGGGCCAAAGTGATTCTTTTATGCAGATGAGTACAAGATCAGGTCAAGGGGTAGTAGATGATAAGCAGCTGGCAGCGAATGCTGGCTTTTGATGCTCCCGTTGTAGAGATCACTGGAGACTTGCTGTGGGTGGGGAAAGTCCTAAATCTCTCTCTTCCCCCCCAGGCAATAAGATGAAGGAGCTGCCTACCACTCTGGGAGGCTTGCGCAGCCTGCGCACACTTGATGTCAGTGAGAACCACCTGCAAGAGCTTCCACCGGTTCTGGCTCACATCCGCACGCTGGAGGTATGCGCTCAGCTGCCCTGTCCATGTCTGCCTTTTGCAGGCTGGGATGTGTCCTGCACGCGGGGCTATTTCCCCACAAAAGGAATTGTTTGCTGGTCATGCTAATTAAATTACCTTGGAGAATGGATTGGGATGCATGGGTTTGGGTTGCGTGTGAGTTGTGTCACCAGGTAACGCCCCCTACACTGCATCTTCTGTAGGCACTAAGTGCACATCCAGGGGATTAGGTCATGGAGCCTCTGCAGAGGGGCTAGTGAGTTCTGCTATCAGAGAAGAGCTATTGGCTGTGTTTCTTCTCCTTGTAGGTACTGGGTATTTTTGACTGCTCTGGGGTTCAGTCGCATACAAATCCCTCATATATTCCACTCAGTGTCCCTCCTGTTCATGAAACACGGGGAAAGAGCTAGCAGTGGGTTTGCTAGAAGGTGAACCTGCTAGTGCAGCAACATTCTGCAGATCAGTTATGGGATGAGGTTAAGTATTGCAGTTAAACTTCCAGAGTAACCCTGCCCTTTCTGCTGCCTTGACCCCCTCCTGTGAGACAGTTAGATTCTGACAGCTTTGTTAGATTGTAAATGGAAACTGGAGTTCTGCATGTTCTCTGTTTTGGAGACGCTGACCCTGGATGCTTCATCCATGACATATCCACCAGCTGATGTTTGCAGTGCTGGCACAGAGTCTATCCAGCAGTTCCTGTGTAGAGGTAAGCAAGGGGGAAAGCCTGTGGGGAGCAGTGAATTTGCAAGGCTTTGAGTGAGTGCTGTGCTGTGTACCTGGAGATCACTGCCAGCCACAACTCATCCTGTGTACCATCTGTGAAGGGCAGATGCTCCAAATGTGACTTCTAGGAGACCTCTCTGGTATGTCAGGCAGTTCCATTGGCATTTTGCCTGTGTGAGAGAAGTTAGGCATCAGGTAAGCCACAGATTATTTTTCTCATTAGTAAAGTAAGGATAATGATGCTGCTCCCTTTCCCTAGTGGGAGTGGTGAGCAGAACGTTGTCTGTGAAATCCATTTCTGAAGGGTAAGGCACCCCCAACAGGTCCAATGCTGTAGCATGGCAAGCACAGAGTTGTTAAATTTAAGATTAAGCAGGTTAGATAAAAAAGTGGTGCTCAAACTTCTAGCCCCATGAGCCAGATAACTGGCTTGGGGCCAATCGGGCTAGATCTTGCAGGTGGGGTCAGTCTGCAAGCTGGATCGAGTGTGGGGTCAGTTGACAGGTATGATCCAACATGGAGTCATCCTGTGCACTAAGTCTGGCTACAGAGAGACCCTGCATGCTGGCACAATCAGGTACGCAGGACCATGTTGCCTGGCTCTCAGGGCTACCCGCAGGCTGAATGACATATCCCTGTGAGTAGGATTTGGCTCACAGGCTGAAGGATTTGCATCAAGCTGAGACAGATTGACATGCCCCAGCAGACTTTCAATTTAAATCTCACTTTGACACAAAAGATGAGAGTCAGAACGTGAATACAGAAACAAAATCTGCCCCCTGCTCAGCTGTTTACAGTTCTATTGATTTTAGTCTGACCACAGCATTATAATGGAACAATTTATCCTCATGTCATCTTTGCAAAATTCCCAGCTGGTTTTAAAATGGGGCTTGATCAGCTTGTGAAGAACATTGTATGATGTGGCTGCCTGTAGTACTAGATACCAAACTCAGCAATCTAAGAGGCCTCTGCCAGTTCTGTGCATCTCGTTTTCTTTTTCCCCAGGAGAGGGAGAATACTAAGTCTCCTCCTGGTTTGCCAGCTTCACTCCCTCCCTACTCTAAGCCATACGCTACAGCAACCATCTTCCTGGCAGAGAATGAAACCATAGCTGCTCCAAGCTGACTCAAGGGGCCAGCTAGCTCCTCTGGGCACTTTGTCCAGGAAAAGAATGGGAGACCATGATCAACAGCAGGTTTTCCCTCTCAGCAGCTCATGAGGCCATCCCTAACTCTAGTACAGTAGTTTTCAGCCAGGGAACCCAGAGATCCTAGGACAGTGGTTCTTAACCTTTTTGGACTCAAGGCACCTCTCAGTAGTCTTGATAGTCTTGAGGCACCCTTTATAGACTTGAGGCACCTTCAGAAAAGGTTTGCACTCTTAGTTTTCACTCATGTTTTGATTATGGAAAAATAATAGAGCAATTCAGCTGTTGCAAAGAACTCAGAAAGACCACAACAGATCAGAATGCTTTAGTTCTATGGATTCCTATTTAAAATTTTTGAGTTTATCTTGTGCATCATGTTTGCACACCTAACAGTGCAAAAATTATGTGGCAACCTTGAAAGGATCTCAAGGCACCTCAAGGTAGGATTGGGTATTTGACTGGTCAAATAAAGTTTGGTCAATTGACCAGTCAAGTCTCGGTCAAAATTAGTAAAAAATTGCCAACAGGTCCAAATAATACACAGAAAAAGCACATTTTTTCCATTAAGAAATGTGTCAAAAAACAATAAAAAATCATGTTTCTGTCAAGAAAACTATAAAAAAAATGTAGGGTTTTTTTTTGGTAAAATTGCTAAAATCTTAGCCTGGTCAAAAATATGCAGTCAAATGACTGGCTTGCCAACCCTGCCCTAGGTTGCCACAGCACCCTGAGTGAGAATCATTATCCTAGGAACTGTGAGAACATATGCAGATCAGGGCAGACTTAGGCTTTTGCTTTTGTTGCCTGGCTACACCCATGCTCTCACTGCCTGGCCCCTCTGCAAGGAGATAAGCATTGTAATAAATAAATGTTTTACATGGGGCACCATTCAATTCACAAAAGTTACAGAGTGGTGCCTTGAGCCTAAAGAGGTTGAGAACCACTGTCCTTGTGCCATGCAGCCAGCTAGCTCCAAATGATGAGCGATTTGTTTTGTCTAATGCCTTCTAGAGTCTGGAATCGAGTACAGTCCTCCCTCCCAGTATCTACTTCCTGTTCTGGAGAGTGATGGAGGAGAAACTTCTGTGGATGGGGTCGATCAGACCACATGTAAATACATGGAAGAAGAGGGCAAATGGCAGGTGAGGATCACAGCCATATATGGAGCTTCATCAGAACACTTTGTGCTTCTCTACCATCTTCCATCTGTGGATCTCAAAGCTCTTAAGTCATTAACCGTCATAGCATCTTCTCTGTGAGGTGTGTTAGTGTCCTCCCTACACTCATTTGGCTAAAGAGTCACTTGGTCACTGAATGAATCAGTAACAATCCGAAAGAGAATCCAAGAATCCCAGTGGCCAATCTTCTCCTCTTGCTGCTGAAACAGTAGCCTGTCAACCTTCCCCACCCACAAGCCAGCTGCATAGAGCACATGAAACATTCATAGTGGCACTTTCCTGAGCTAGTTTTAGACCCATACCTTGAAAACAACATAGCAGGACAGATGGAAGGCTGGACAGTGGGGTGGAGTATGACTAGAGTGCATGACACAGCATTGCAACACGATGGAATTCTGGGAGGGTCAGCGCTGTGGAAGGGTTGTCTTTCCAGTTCCAAAGTATAGGGTGGGGAGTCTTTCAGTTTTATTCAGGAAATGAGTCAGGGCTGGTACATCTCAGCTCTACAAAGTGAATTTTTTACAGTCATGCAACATGGCAAATGCAGATGATGTTCTAAGAAGAAGCCCTTCTTCTCCCCTAAGCTATACTTTCTGTTCTTCGCTTGGCTTATACCAGGGGTGGACAGTCTATGGCATAGGTACCACAAGTGATGTGAGCAGCCTTTCTGTCTGGTATTCAGCAGACTGGGGAGGGGACAGGCAGCACAGTGGAAGATCAGACAAGAAGCAGAAAGAACAGCAGATTGGGCAGGGTGCAGAAAGCAGAGCAGCGGATGAAGCAGGGGAAGGGTATTGGAGTTGTAATTGAGTACGATGTAGGGCTAATTTGTGGCATGTTCGCCTAAAAGTTGGCTGCCACTGACATATACTGTGCATATCAGCATGCCTACCTGCTTAATTGCCACCTGAAGCCAATCTACTAAATTGGTCTTGATTCATAGCTCTGTAGTAGATTGTCAGACAGCTTAGGATGAGAGCACAAAATGGCCTGATACTAGCTAGAGAAGATTGTTCCCAGGACACATGCCTTTCTGCTAATGATATAATTTCCTTTTCAGAACAAATTCTTGGATTATGAGAAGCGGAAGGTAAGAAGGAATCCCTGCAAAAGCCTGTTCTGTGGAGTTCTGAATGTAGCCAGTTCTGCTTTTTTTATATTCCATCTCGCTATCCAGTTTAGAAAACCAGCTCTGAATGTCCTGAAAACCAAAACCCACCAAAATACTCTCTGGTCTTTGCTCAAGGGAAGAGAGGCATGTGTGAACACCAGAAACATGCCCTGGAAATCTGATGCTACATATAGGAATTAGAATCATAGAAAACTAGAGTTGGAAGGGACCTCAGGAGGTCATCTAGTTCAACCCCCTGCTTTAAGCAGGACCATTCCCAACTATATCACCCCAGCCAAGGCTTTGTCTATGTGCAGGCCGGGAGCGACCCGAGCCCTTTTCCGTGCTGCACGTGGGCTGTGGCCAGCAGCCCGGGCACGCTGGATCGGAGAGGGAGGGCGACGAGCTGGAATTAGGCACAAACGCTTAGCGGTAGTTTTAAAGATTGTTTACTTACACCGAGATGGCAGTGGTGTAGGCTGGAAAACTTGCTTGAGTTGCGGTTACAGACAGGAAAGAAGAGAGGCGGACAAGAGTTCTAAACTCGTGAACTCTAGCCCAATCCGGCTGAAGGCTCTGAACACGCGAGCCCGTCGTCTCAACCGAAGAAAGTACTCGTCCGAAAGAGCTCTGAATAAACTCACACGAAGTTTGCTAGGCTCCATGGGTCCTTCTGCTCACTCATCCACACGAAGTTTGCTAGGCTTTGTGGGTCCGGTTCTTTTGCGCGCAGGAAGGGATACGTCTAGGCTGCGATCGGCGACGGGGAGAGGCTAGAGGCTGATCAGACCTCTGTTGCCTGCTGCCACGTGTGAATAATTTAGAACTGGCCAATAATGGGACTCGAATTAGCATACAAATGGCGGGAACTCTTTGCAACGAGCATTTCTGTGCTGCAACAAAGAAATGCACCCTGCAAAGAAACCTTCAAATTGGTGGGAAATTCTCCCTTGCACTGGGGTTCTCTTTTGCAGCAGAAAACTCCACCGTGCAAGGAAGCGATAATTTAGCGGGAACAATTTAGCAGTGCCGAAGCACACAAAAACAAAAATCACACCCTTTGGGTTGTGACAGTCTACTTGGGTCTTAAAAACCTCCAAGGATGGAGATTCCAAACCTCTCTGGGTAACCTGTTCCAGTGTTTTACTACCCTCCTAGTGATAAGGTTTTTCCTAATATCTAACCTAAACTCCCCTTTCTGGCACATGCACTGACAGCCATTGTTTTAGAACAGCTTGTTTTTTTAGCCTCAGGGTATCTCTGCTGTGGGGAGTTCCCATTTAGATTGAGCTTCCTCCAGGTTTTGCTGTCTACTATGTCTCCTCTCCTCTCATCACAGGTTCAGGCCTTTGTTTTATTCTCAGAAGGTTTGGGCAGTTTTAGTTACATACGCTGGATTCAGCCATGGTGAGGGCAGGCAAATGTGTAATCTGTCTCCACACCACTGTTGGCATACCTCAGTCCTAACCTGTCTTGGGTCCTGCATGCAGCTGGGGCCCTTCAATACAGCCCTTCAGCACTGATTGCTCCTATCCCCTCTGTTCCACCATGCAGCTTTCTAGTCCTGACCTGTAGCCACCAAGAAAGGAGTATGGCCTTCCTGCTTCATGAGGGAATTTATTGGTTTATTTATACATTTATTTACAAGTACTTATTTGATTTATGTGCCACCCTTCCCAACAATGGTTCAGGACAGCTTACAATAGGATAGCAGAATGAGTAAAAATCAAAAGCCAAAACAGCTTAAAAAGGAACGAGGACATCAAATTAAAACAGAGATTCCTCCTAAACAACATCTCATCCTAGTTTTGTTTGGTGAATGCCTGCACAAATAGGAAGACAAGGTTCTTTGGGTAAATCTTTTATTAGACCAACTCAGATAGTTGGAAAAATTCTTCTTTGCAAGCTGTTGAGTACAAACACCCTCCATCAGGCTGAGGAAGCATCTGCAGTTGGTCTGTGCTATTCCTGGATGGAATAGAAATATCAGGTTTCATCAAATCAGTCCTAAAAATTCTTGTCGCCCAAAGAGTGAATTTTGTCCAAGACACAACAGACTTTCTACGAAAACTTACAAAAAAGACTATCTTCCCAGTAACACCCTCCTAGCCACCATGAACGTTACCAGCTTGTATACCAACATCCTACACCAGGATGGCATCTAAGCCTGTCTTACAAGGAGCAAGCTTATAACTCAGAGTACAGACTTAAAGATATTACTAAATGTATACACTTCCTCCTCACACACAACAACTTAGCTTTCAATAACCAACACTTCCTCCAGACCATGAGCACAGCTACAGGCACTAAAACGGCCCCACAATATGCCAACCATTTTATGAGCTACCTAAAAGAAGCATTCCTCAAGGACTGGACCATCAAACCCTTGCTATACTTAAGATCTATTGATGACATCTTTATCATTTGGACTGAAAACCTGCAATCTCTGATTTCCATTAGAAATTCAACAATCATCACTTGTCCATCAGACTCTTAAATACTCCAGCACCAACATTTCCTTTTTAGGCACTATGATCACTATCCAGAATGGTAAAATACAAACCACCACATACAAGCAACCCGCAGACCCACATACTTCTCTGGACAGAACCAGCAATCACCCTAAACACACCAAGAAAGCTGTAATATGTAGCCAAGCCCTCCAATACGACCAATTTGCACTGAGGAGAACATCTGTGCTTGTCACCTCACAAATCCCAAAATGGCTTTCACTCAACAAGGACACTTCTCCAGAGAGAGAGATCATACTTTTGAAAGAGCCACCTGGATACCACGTGAAGAACTGCCACAATACAGAACCCTCCCCCCACCCTCATGAATCGCACACCACTAGTTATTATGACATCATCCCTCCCTGGAACCTGTACAGAAGATCCTCAGACAATCGCAGCCCATACTAGAAGGAGACCCAATTCTTAACGAGATCTTCCCAGAACCACCCATCCTTTAAACGAGCATCGAACCTCATCAACCTCATCACCAGAAGCAAACTTCCTATGGCCCAAAACACCCAATGGATCCAGACCGTGCCACGACAAGAAATGTAAAACTTGCCAACATATCTCTACCACCACCACAATAACTACACACCACAACAGAACCATCACCATTCTTGGATCTTACACCTGCACCTCCAGAAGTGCAATATATTTCATCCAGTTCACTAAATATCCTGATGGAAAATATGTAGGAGAAATCAAACAACAACTGTCTATCAGAATGAGCACACACCAAAAATCTATCAAAGACAAAGATACCCAATTACCTGTGAGGGCACATTTCTCATGAGGCAACCACTCTCTCTCCAATCTCTCAGTTTTAATCCTCAAAGGGAATTTACAAAACACCTTTTGTAGACTAGGGCTGTGCGAAATTTCACCACCAGTTTTGTTTCGACGCTGTTTCGACCTGTTTCGAGGTTGAAACAGCAAAATCAAAACAGAACAGATATGGTTGAAACAGCCTCAAAACGAAACGAGGCAAGTCGAAATGTTTCGCCGTTTCAGCACTGTTTCAACATTTCGTCCGTAGGCTATAATGGGGAAGGTTGAAACAGCCTATACCTTTGTCATTTTTGGCCTGATTTGGATGAAACTGCCAGGAGTGGTAGCCCCTTCTGAGGGCATGAAGTGTGCCAAGTTTCAAGAAGATAGATGCAAGGGGTTCAGAGAAACTGCACCCCAAAGTCTTGAGAGCCAAACTTGTGTCATGTGTATGTGTTAGGCCACAGCAAGGTCAAAACTGCAGGACTGCTAGCCTCCGCTGAGGCCACAAAGCCTGCCAAGTTTCAAGGAGAGAGGTACAGTGGTTTGGGAAACTGCTCCTCAAGCTGTGGACAAGCAAAACTCGTGACATGGGTGACACTGTGTGTGTTAGGGCGCAGCAGAGTGAAAACTGCAGGCATGCTAGCCCCTGCTGAGGTCCCCCCACCCGCACCCCCCTTGGCCTGCAACAGCTCACTGAAAGTCCTCAAGTTGCCCTCCAGCCAAAATAATTGTCCACCCCTGGCACAGATATACATTAGGGATGTAGAGGGATATTGTGCCTCATGTTATACTTTCATTAGCCAAGGTGTGAGTGTGAAAGGGTGAATGGCCTGCAGGCTGCTGATACCCAGCATTCGTGCTACTTCTCACTTCCCACAGGAACAGAAAATGCTGGAGAAACTGGAGTTTGAGCGTCGCCTGGACATGGGGCAGAGAGAGCACGCCCAGCTCATGCAGCAGAGCAGCAATCAGAAAGATGAGATACTACAGTCAGTGAAGGAGGTGCGTCTGATAGCTAGCTTTAATCAAAGCCAGCTGGCTGGCTCTAGGTGGATGCAGTGCTTACCCCTCTGCATGTTTTCAAGCAGGCTTTCATGTATTGAGGTGTGGGTCCCAGGCACGCAGAGGTCTCCCCTCCAGAGACAGGAGCTCATTGGAGCTGGGTTCTCCTCCCCAATCTCTCTGTTTTGTTCCCTGGTACTCCCTTCCTGTTTGCCTGTCTAGACTGTCAGTGTCTGTGAGGAACAATCTGACACAGTTGTCTAGGGCAGGACTAGAGGTGACTTGATGCATCTATTCCATCTCTAATGGGGAGTCCCACTCTCTCTCATAGGAACACAGGACTGGAATGGACTCCACTTAGTCCAGTCCCTCCAATTGCAGGCAACTACATCATGCAGTCCAGCTCCCAAAACAACCAAGCTCCCCTTTCCATTTTCCCTTTGTCACAGGAGCAGGTGAGGCTGGAGAAGGGCCTGACAAAGCACCAACGCTACTTGGAGAGTGAGCGTCTGAAGCTGCTGGAGCAGCTCAAGCAGACAGAGCAAGGCATTGCCAGCCGAATCCAAAAGCTGCTCGAGGAGAATCAGAGGTTGGCCTCCTCTCAGGATTCTTGGCAGCCAGTTGGGACCCCTGGGCATCAGTTTCTTTTTGTGCATGTCTGGTTATGTTCTGGCCAGCTAAGTGTGTCTGGCCCTTTTTGGAGGGTAACACAGAAAGTACAGAGCTCTGAGGGTGAATCCCTAGAAGGTGGGGAATACAAAGGCTCTGGAAGAGCCCCCATGGTTCTTTTCCTGCTTTCACACTCCACCCTTTGGCCAGCCTAGTATCGACTGCGGGTAAAACTCTCCCGAGTAACTCAGGCCTTTCCTACATACTCACAGTGCAGGTGCAAACTCAGTGTTCATAAAAGGGTAGGTAAGCTGTGATGCTTGTCAGGATAGATATAGTTACCCAAGTACCATTGTGCTTTATATCCATGTAACTTGTTTGAACAGTATAAAGCATCTTTGTTGTGTTGTAATTGTGTCCACATTTGAGGCTGTGCAAGTATAACCAGGGGGGAAAAACACACCCTTAACCGGCATAGTTTTAGTGACATTACACCTCTGAGTGTAGTCCAAACCTTAGACACAGGAGTCTACATCCCACTGAAGGTTAATGAGACAGACCCCTAGATTATTTTGATTACTTTATTTTGGTTATTACCCAAATAACCTTGTCTGTATTATTTGGGGTACTTTAATGTAACTGTACCCCATGTGCCAGTGCTGATGACTATTTGTGCCTAGTGGGAGGGTGGTTATTGAGCACATTACCCTTGTGTTATTGGCAGTCAAACTAAATAATCACACTGGCCTGTCTGCACACCAGATGAAATCTGTAAAGTGGCAGTCCATCCTAGGCTTTCATTCTTTCCAAAGCTGGCCACTAGAGGGCAATTCAGTCTCATATGTTTAGCAAGTGTAGTACATAAGATTTTTTCCAAATCTAAAATTTTGAACCAGAATTCTTGGCATGTTTCCCCTTCAGTGAAAATAACTTCATATAAAATGGTTCTGGCTGTGGTGGATGATGGCTACTGCCCTTGGTTTCTCTTGTCTCCAACCTCTAAATTGAGTTTGTTTGGTGCAGTTTCAGCAGAGATCAATGCTGAGCTGAGACCTAATGCCTTAGAGGATCAGTGCAGAGCAGAGTTGGGTACTGAATGGATCAAATAAAATGCAGTCAATTGACTGGTCAGATATTGGTCAAAATTGTAAAAAATTGCCAATAGGTCCAAATAATATGTAGAAAAGCACAAATTTTCCATTAAAGCATTTCCAGTTAAACCCTGTGGCAGTGTGCCTAACCAAGAAGGGAGGCTGCTACTCTCTATTGTGCTTCCAGGGACAAATCTGCTAATCCATCTCTAACCCAAACCCTAAATAATGAGCACAGGGGAGGGATCATGGGGAGGTGATGCAATGGTCGGAGCAGCCTCTATGGTTCCCCAAGGAGGAGGCATGTGAATATGGGTAGGTTTTATACAAAGGCTGTTTCCACATGTGCCCTGCATACTTGTTAATGGAGCTGAGCTCTGTGCCACTAAGGGAGGCATATCCATTGGTTCCATCCCCCCTGCCTCGCCATGTACCACAAGTGTACCCTTCCTGCAGCTCAAAGATATGTTCTAACTACAGGATCTGCTCCCAGTGCCCAAGCTAGGGGCCCAGTGGTAGCAGCATGTGACCAGCTTGCTCGGGTGAGGACAGGTGATCACTGTGTATGGAGAGCATCTTGTTTTGTCGAGTGAATATCTTTTATTTTTATCTTCTTAGGCAAAAACAAAGTTCAGAAATTCTGAAATCCTTGGAGAATGAGAGGTGAGTGTCCTGCCTATGGTGGGCTTTTTGAAGGACTGGCAGAGCATCTGAGAAGGAAATAAAGACCTTTCCACTTCTAGGCCACTTATCTGTGCCCTGTTCAAGTCACTGGAGATTGAAAATTGTTTCCCTTAAGTAGTCATTGATATCACTGTGTGTCAGCCTGGTTCCTTGTGGAATCTGATACAATCTGATCTGTATGCTGGCAATCTTAGCAGATGTCAAGGATTAGCTGAACCATGAACTTTTCAGATACTGTCAGAATAAACAGAGTAGTTATGGTTGATACTAAGTGAATGTTATGAGAGAGAGAACCTGCTTTGAAGCTTAAGACAGGATCTCTTACTTAGGGTTTAGGATGAGATCTAATGTGAGGGACAGATGACCCCACAACTTTGACACAGGATTTCTTGATGCTTCCCCTGAAGCACCTGTTGAAGGCAGGAAGCTAGACTAGATGGACTTTGGACCTGATCCAGTCTGGCAATTCCTATATGAGGACCAGCTTCTTCCCTCCTTCTCAGTGAGGGTCACTACCACAGCTAATGAGTTTGGGGTGCAAAAAACCCATTTCTTCCTATAGAGGACTCTGAGACATCATTTGGCCTATGTAGAACAAAGGGCTTCCAGGCTAGTATCTCACTGTTGGAATGAGTGCTTTGGTGCTATCTGATGTTACCTGCAAAGCCCTGTTGATATGCATAAGCACACAGGTCCCTCCTTTAAGGGCAACTGAGGGTCTGGCAACCTGTGTATTTATAGTGGAAGTGAAGAGAATAAGTAAAAGGAGTGTCTTGCTGTTTGTGATGGAGTGCATGTTTCATTGATGTTACTGTATTTCTCCTATTACATTATGTTTTACCCCACTCCTTGCTGAAGAAGACTCTGGTAATAACCTTTGGTCTGGGAATTGCTCAGTCCTCAACACTAGGAGCTGTTGTTTGTCAGTGTAGTTCTTTGTGTACAAGCATGCTGTCAGGGCGTTATGTGTGCTGGGGTGTGCACTGGAGTATGCACTGTGTGTCCTTAGAAACTATGATATTACACAAAGAATTGACCACAAGGCTTGGTTCAGTGGCAAAACTTCAGCAAGGTTTATTACCTACACAGCACCTCACCAATATGCCTGTACAGAGGGTTACACGATGTGAGCCCCAGATGCTTGTGGTAAGGCACAGGCACAACTCACAATTGCATGCTTCCCTTAGGCTTAGTAAAAGTTTTAAAGATTTCCAGGACTCCCCTATACATGAAGTATGCAGTTCAGTTTACTTCATGCATTTACATAAGCATCAACAGCTCTACCAAATTACCCTAATTAATTATCTGTTATCACCAGGTGTATTCTAGACTCTTTGGCACCAGCCTTATTGATTAATCTTAACAATCAACTTTAACACTCTGCTGTCTGTCGAGTTTACTCCCACAGGCACCCTAGTGCCAGGTCAGCCTCTGCTGAGGCCTGCTTTGGTTAATACTCTTAGCAAAGCCTCTGTATGAGTTGCATATATATTGACTGGTGCTAATATTACTCCCCATGACTCCAACAAGGCGTACAGGAGCAAAGGAACTCTGTTGCCACTGAAATCAGTGGAGCACTTGAGCTGTCTATGAGGGAGAAGAGAGCATATAACTGGTTGGCAAGGGTGAAACATGACTCTGCTTCTGAAGTAGTAAGTAGTGGCTGAATGTTCCTGCTTGTTTCCTAGAATAAGGATGGAACAGCTGATGGCCATAACACAGGAGGAGACTGAGCATCTACGCAAAAGGGATGTGGCCTGTAAGTCCAAAAGGGCTCTGTGGTGTGTGTATGTGTAGGTTTGAAGCAGTGACATGGGGGAATCCTTGGGCAATGGTTGCCTGTGAATGCAAGGGACTGGATTTAGTGAAGTCCCCTTCTAATCCTATGCTGTTGTAGTGAGGAGCTGCGAGTCGCATCCTGTGAAGGGTACTGAGCAGCTCTGTCCTCGGGGGAGATGTTGCGAGCTATAGCTGGACCCTTACTGCTGTAGCTTGCTGAAACAGCAGTGTAAGATAGGATGTAACCTAACAATGTATACCCAAGTGCTAGCTATTGTGTTACCCCACTGACTCCCACTGGAGTCATCCTTGTGCTCGCTGTCACAGCTGATGCAGTTAGTTCTAGTGTGTGTGGGGTAAAAGGGTGTTAAGTAGGGTTACCATATGTCTGGGTTTTCCCAGACGTCCTCTTTTTGGGTCCTCCCATCTCCATCTGAGTGGTTTTTTAAAATATCAACAAATGTCCAGGATTTTGCTTTGCCTCCGCTCAGTGTTGAAATTTTTCCTGGCACTTCCTGGCTTGCCCCAGCAAGGAGCTGCTTGGGGCTGGGGGGAGTAAGGGGAGGGCGACTGGAGGCCAGGGCATCACATGTCTTCTAGCAAGCCGCAGCAGCTACAGGCAAGTAAGTCTGTGAAGGGCAGAGGTTGGAGGGCCAGGGCTGGGGATTGTCAGGGGTATGTGTGTGTGTTAGAGGTCTGTGATGGGATGAGTGTGCAAGGGGGTGGGTACCTGCTGGGGCTGCAGCAGAGTGGGCAGGCTGGGGAGGTGCCTGCCCTTCCAGTGGGGGAAAGAGGTGTGTGTGCGTGTGCGTGCATGCGCGCACAGGGGGAGGAGTGCAGGGCGCAGGCAGGGCCAGGGGGCTGTGGGTCTGGAGTGAGGGGTATCAGCAGGGATGGGGGAGGTCTGTGGGTTGGGAGTAAGGGGCACCAATATGAATTGGGGGTCAGGGTACTGTGGGTCAAGAGTGAGGGGCAGCAGCAGACCTGGGGGGTGTGGCTGGGGAGTGAGGGGCAGGGGCAGGGCATGGGCATATCACTCCCCTCCCACCCCTCCATCATATTACCATCCCCACTCTCCCTGACAGGTGTCCTCTTTTTTGAAACTGGAAATATGGTCACCTTATGTTAAGCAAAGATTTAATAAATAACCTCAGTCCCTAGCTCTTTGCATCTTCAAAGGGTCATATGGATGTTAGCCAAGTACACAAGGCAAAACAAATGCCAACATGAATGGTACCTATAGATAAAGATTGGGTGCTGTCTGGACCAGCTGAGCCAGCTGTGCTTTATCAGAGGAGGACAGGATACTACTACTCTGGGGGTTTGGAGGGCAATCCAGTGTGCATGTTCTCATCACAAAGAAAAATGCTTCTTGTTCTAATTAGTGTTTGTTGCTGAGATTGGTGTTAGGCAGCATGGCTTCTGTGCACACTTCAGTAATGCACAGAAGGCATTTGTGCTAGTTTGCCTCTTGTTGGAGGTATTTCACCTTGCCAAGGCAGTGACAAAGGATATTAGACCTGGGCTAGTGGGTGGGCAAAGCTTTCACCCATGTCTGTTTCCTTCTCCTTCAACAGCTGGGTATAGGCCCAAACAACAGTGGGGAGAACAGATCACCCTTTCTGAGCTGAGAACAGTTGTTAGTGATTCTGCTCCTCCCAGCAGGTGGTAGTACAGGGACTGGAAAAAGGATGTCATGACACCCTCAGAGAGGACTCAGGAGGGTGCTCTTCTGGCTAGTCTTGCTCATCTAAACTCCTGCAGCTGTTTTACTTTCCTCTCTGAAAGGGCTAAAATGAGAAGCTGAGGATGGAATGGAATCTGAAGGGAAGAGCCAGATATTAGTGGTGCTTGTAGCTGCAGTAACAGAACGAGAACTCTGCTGGTTACTAGCAGTCTGACTATACCATCAAAGGGCTGGGCTAGGGAATACAAACCATGCCCACTTCATGCATGCTACACTCCTGATGAATGTAATGTCTTAGTGTGTCTTAGTGTGATGCTACATGCATACTTAAAAGCTTCTTACAAAAGAGAGCAGGTTGCTTGGCATGTACTCAGTGCCCATAGAGCGGGTATGGTGGGCTTCATAGCAACACTTCTTAGAGTCATCCTCTGTATGGTTTAGATGTACTCAGGACTTCACCACCGTGTAACACAGACTGACAGCTTGTCTTTGCCCTTCAGCTGCCATGCAGCAAATGCTGGCTGAGAGCTACAAGAACAAATTCATCCAAATGACCTATGAATCCCGCCGGCAAGACCTTGTCAATCAAGCCTGCTCCAGGTACCGTCAGAGTGATGGGGCTTGTAGAACTGTTGTGTGGCCCCCTTTCCTTCCAAAAGACCTCAAACGGTTCTTATACAAATATCCAGGAATCCGCAGCCACTTCTTGTGCAGAACGTAGCAGCCACGTAACAGCACACAGTAATACTACAGATAGAAGAGCAATGTCCAACGTGATTAAAGGGGGCAACTACAGGGACTCTGAGAACATTTCTGGTTTCAATTAGATTTTGTTTAAATCATTTTTGCAGAGAAGAGAAAAATCAGAATTTTGGTCTCTGTCCCTTAGAAGCAGCCAACGCACTTTGTTCATTGCGCTTCAATCAATTATACTTAATGTGTAGTTCTGCTATGAACATAACAGTACCAGTGGGGTACGGGGAGATATCTCTCTGAGAAATTAACCCATTTAGTTAGGAATTGCTGAGGCTATAAAAGCAGGACCTTATAGAACAGGCTGCATAACATCACCTCTCAGAGCGAAACTGCGCTGCGAAGTAGATCATCAAATTCCCTTTTGTCTTTTTGGGCTGTCACAATGTGTTTCTGCCAGGGGCAGGGAGGAATTTCCTTTGCCTAGTTCCACCTTAGAGGAAATAAGAGGCAGAACTAGGCAGGGTTCTGTGCCTGGAGAATTACTGAAAAATTAACAGGATTTTTTTTTTGATTCCCTTCACCAAAATCTGCCACCAAATAAATAATATTAAGTTTCAGTCCCATTATGTGGGCTGAGTTGTCTAAAAGAAGCCCTGTATCTGGGGCAGACTCTGAATCAGTTACAGGATGATTATTCTGGAACAGCAATTCCAGTGACTTTCAGGAGTGGACAAGTCCTATTTTGGTCTGTTTTGAACAGCGTTGGCAAGAAGCCATTGCAAAACTGACCCCCTCGCT